TGAAAATTATGAAAAGAATTGAATTTTGGGATTAAAATTTAATAAATTGGCCGTGTTAAGGGGTTTTAGAAATTAGGGTTTATTTTGAAAAGATAGGAAACTGATGTAATGACACATATTTTTAATATAATCACACAACATGGTTTAACCTTTCTTAGTGATTTTTTCATCTCAAAATAACCAAAATTTTTGTTCTTTTGGAAGTAGTATTACAATTTCCACATTTGTTTTCAATGTTAAAGATTCCAGATAAACAACAACCTAGAAATAGACCTTTTATTAATTATTTTCCAAACAAAAAAAGAAGAAAAAAAACCATTTCTTTTGAAACACTATTTTTTAGTTTCTGGCTTGTCTTATCTTATACTTCAAATCGAATGTGGAAAAATTTTATGTTAGTCATATTGACTTGTTGACTTGGACGACTATCAACTTCTTTTATAGTGTTGTGAACGTACCTCATTTTCCAAGTCAATACAATTGGTTAAAACTTATAGCAGAATAGGGTTATTTACGATATAAATTATTTTTATTTCTAAAAAAAGAATCTCTTTAAGACTTAATAATAATATTTAAGTTCCAACACTACATAATTTATAAGAGTATGTAGGGATTTCATAAGATCTCAGCTGTATTAATTAAAATTATATTTTATTTCCTCAATTTAAGGTCTAAATTAGTGTATCACTTTTATGAAATATAATTGAAATTTATAATTTATTACATTGGAAGTTAGTACATTTTCAGTGCTCATCTTGTCTCTATTTTCATTTCAATGAACTAATTTGATGGTACATCTTTTTAATATAACCATATAACACAGCTTGACTTGACCTCCTTTTGTTGGTGGAAATCAAATTCTAAATTAAAATCAATTATAAAGCTTGACCTCCTCTAGAGATCTATCCAACTAAGAATACAATTTGCAATTGCACAATTGTTTATTTCTCCATTTATTTCTATTTTTTTTTTCATTTATTTTTTCTTCCCATTTCTTAGTTCTCAGTGGTTTGGTTATCAAGGTCTCCATCATTTGAAAATTAATGTAAAGAATTGAATTTTGGGATTAAAATTGAATAAATTGGCCGTGATAAGGGGTTCGAGAAATTAGGGTCTATTTTGAAAAGATAGGAAATTGATGTAATGACACATATTTTTAATATAACCGCATAACACAGTTCAACCTTTCTTAGTGATTTTTCCATTTGAAAATAACCAAAATTTTTATTCTTTTGGAAGTTATATTACAATTTTTACACTTGTTTTCAACGTCAAAGATTTCAGATAAGCAACAACCTAGAAACAGACCTTTTATTAATTATTTTCCAAACAAAAAAAGAAGAAAAAAACCATGTATTTTGAAATACTATTTTTTTAGTTTCTGGCTTGTCTTATCTTATACTTCAAATCGAATGTCGAAAAATTTTATGTTAGTTGTACTGACTTGTTTACTTAGATGACTATCAACTTCTTCTATAGTGTTGTGAATGTTACCTCATTTTCCAAGTCAATATAATTGGTTAAAACTTATAGCAGAATAAGGTTAATTACGATATAAATTATTTTTATTTCTAAAAAAAAAAAAGAATCTCTTTAAGACTTAATAATAATATTTAAGTTCCAACACTACATAATTTATAAGAGTATGTAGGGATTTCATAAGATCTCAGATATATTGATTAAAGTTATATTTTATTTCTTCAATTTAGGGTCTAAATTAGTGTATCACTTTTATGAAATGTAATTGAACTTTTTAATTTATTACATTGAAAGTTAGTACATTTTTCAGTGCTCATCTTGTCTCTATTTTAATTTCAATGAACTAATTTGATGGCACATCTTTTTAATATAACCATATAACACAACTTGACTTGACCTCTTTTAATGATTTATCCATCTCGAAGTAACCAAAATTTATTTTCTTTTAAAATTTATATTACAATTTACACACTTGTGGATAAAAATAAGGAAGAAAAGATGGATTGCTGGCAAATCAACTTCATAAAATTAATTAACATGGCTTGACTTCCTCAAATGATATATTGATTTACAATTTGCAATCGCACACTTGTTTTTGTTAGAAGACTTTGAATAAGCTTTATCCAAATTCAGAAGTTATATTAATGTAGCTATCTTATTCTGTTCTTAGATCACATAATACCAATATATCTCCACTTCATTTGATTCATATACAATAACTATTAAAAATAAAATTTTGTGTAGATAAATGATTTATCAATCATAGTTTACCATTAAATAGTGATTATCTCATTATAAGATAAAAAATAAAAACAAAAAACTTTTTTCAATTTTTTTTTTTTTTCTAAATATCAAAAGCAAACACCAAACACATTATAACCTTTACATTGCTTAAAAATGTGCAGTCTCAAATTAATTCAATCAACTTGAGAATCTATATAAGCTGGGCATTCCAATTATATTGACTAGTTGACTTTGAGGGATTATCAACCTTTTCTTATTGTGTCGTAAACGTAACCTAATTTTCCAAGTCAAGCTATTTGGTTAAAACTTATGCCACAATGGGTCATCTACGATAGAAATTATAAATTTCTTTATTCTATCGACAATTATTGTCCTTCTCTTGACTTTGAAGAAAACTATGAACTTCTGAGTTGGGTTTATGTCTCCTCAATTCTCCTTAACATATTATTGCAAAAATAAAGTTTTAATGATTTACCAGTATTAAAAATTTAAGGTTTTTATTGTAAAACGTAATTATACTTTGTTTACACAGAAGAATGTGTTTAATTTTTTAGTTTCCTTTGAGTTGTTTTTCCGTTGACCCATCTTGATACAGCAATTCCTTGAATTGGGCACTGATTTTTGCATGTGAATGTGAACTTTTTTCAGGAAATTAATTGATGGCATTCTAAAAACTTGAACAAAAAAATAAATAAATAAATATCAACATGTGAATTTACGTTAGTTGGTTTTCCAACTGTATTGACATAAAGTACTTGGTTAAAACTATGAAACAAGTCATTTATGATATAAACTGATTTCTACAAACAACTACTGTCCTTCTCTTAGACTTGAACACATCTGTAATCTAATGTGTCAGGATTATGTCATTAAAGATAGAAATTATTTTGTGTTATTCCTTGACTTCAGAGCGAGAGCAACGCTGTAAAATTCACAAATTTAATTTATTTTCTGCACATTAATTGTAAAATGCAATACATAATATGTTTATACATGAGAGAATGAGTTAATTTTATGAAAACTTTTATTATCAACTTCAGAAATTTAACGACTTTATATCTCTAAACAACCAGAAGTTGAATTTTCATCACAAAATTGATTGTCTCCATGAGTGTGTGCGTGCTGTTTCTTGGAAACTTTTTCAGAGGATTTTAAATTTTGAATAAAATAATAAATATAAAACTTTGTACTCAATATCTATAATTTCTTGATGCGTTCTTCATGTCTAAAAGCATTGTTTCAATAAGATTAACAGAATATAAAATAGTGAGCTGTTATTTGATCAGTTGGGTCAAAGATTGAGACTTTTTCATATATTTATCCAATAAGTAATGCTATCGTCACCGAAAATAGTGCATCGAATGACATGACAAAATCCTGACCGTCGATTAATTATAACTTAATATTAATCAACGGTTAGAATTTTGTTACGTCATTCGATGCACTACTCTCAGTGACTGCATTATTTTCCTCTCCAATTTAAAATCTCCACTATCACCACCGTTACTAAGTCCAATTAAGGCTTTTCTAGCCGGGTGAAACTTGATCCTCTTTTGAAACCCAGAAAATTATCCGGCTCTAGGATCCGAATTCTCTTGATGGTCCATTTCCTTCTTCGATTGGCAATATCTCCTGGTTGGAAAGATTGTGAGAATCCTAAGACCAATTAAAGAGATAACCAGTAAAAATTTCCAGAGAAACTAACAGAAAACTGAGAGAAAATGCAGAACTTGAAGAATAGAGAAATTTTCTGGAAACTTGACATTTTATTGATTTTGGATTAAAGTTCTAAACTGATTACAGTCTATTTTATACACTGGCAATCCGTGTCAATTCGCCAGGTAAACATAACACGCTTCATCAGCATCAGTAAATTGAACGGCTGCAGTTGGGTTTCTGCACTTTCTTCTTTTTCAGCTTTATATTTACAAAACGCAGCACTTGACTGATTCATCAAAACACAGCATAACTTGTTGATCACCAAAACGCAGCACTTCAACTAAATTCAAAACGCATAGTAGAAAGTTAAAAACCCAACAACTTTGATCTGAAACGGCAGCTTTCAACTAAAAGAATTTAACGCCACTTAATGGAAGCTGTTAATCGAACCGTTGCACAGTAAACATTTTTTAAAAACAAACAGAAACTGTTGCAGAGAACCGTGAGCAGTGAATATCTTGAAAACTGGAAGCTTGAATATGAATCTGGAAACTGGAAACTGGAAAGAATAAAGTGCTCCGTCATGAACTGGAAACTGTTGATTCCATAACATATGCTAATCAACTCACTGGAGAGATTCCGTAAAGCTTGTCCAACTGCTTAGTTTTACAGGGATTGTATCTCGCTGATAACCGTCTCTCTGGTAGGATCCCAAGATTGTTGGGGAATCTAACATCATTGTTGGATCTTATGATGACCAATAATTATCTTGAAGGTCCAATTCCTGATGAGTTTTGTCCATTGGATTATCTTGAAGTTTTGGACTTTTCAAATAATAGTATCTCGAGGGATTTACCATCTTGTTTCAGCCCTAAGAATTAAAAAAGTTCACTTGTCTAGAAATATCTTACAAGGACAATTAACAGATGCATTTAGCAAGAGTTCTTCCTTGGTGACATTGGATCTTAGCCATAACCAATGCAACGGTACCATCCCAAATTGGATTGGCAAACTTTCTCAATTAAACTACTTGATCTTAACTAATAATAGTTTTGAAGGTGATGTGCCAGTTCAATTGTGTCGGCTACGCCAATTACGCTTGATTGATCTTTCTTATAATGGTCTTTATGGTCAAATTCCTCTTGTGTTCTGAACTCACTGCACTCCATGAGAAAGATAAGGATGTTGTAGCTGCAAGCTTTGATACTTTCCAGAATACAGCTCCAAGTTCTAATACTTTTCAGAACATAGCTTCGTCTGATGGTCCTACCCCGATTGAAGAAGGGCCTTCTATGAAAAAGGAGGAAACAATAGATGTCTCATGGAAGAATATGTCCTACACTTACAAAGCAGTAACCCTCACATTGATATATGTAATTGATCTATCTTGCAACAATCTAACAGGTAAAATTCCTCAAATTGGTAATCTTACCAGAATTGTTACACTCAATTTATCTCACAACAAATTGACAGGGTCTATCCCAAAGACATTTTCAAACCTTAAGAAAATTCAAAGCTTAGATCTTTCTTATAACAACTTAAATGGAAACATCCCTCCTGAGCTCCTTGAGCTAAATTCTTTGTCTGCCTTCAACGTGGCATACAATAACTTATTTAACAAGACCCTTGGGCAAACTGCACAATTTATAACTTTTGGGAAAAGTAGTTATGAAGGAAATTATCTTCTTTGTGGATGGCCACTACACACACACACACACACACAAAAAAAAAAAAGTGAAGGAAATGAATCACCATCATCGATGCCAAGTGATTCAACTAAGAATGGAGTAAATTATAGTTTCATTGACATGGGTATCTTCTATATCAGTTTTATTGTGTCCTATATAATCACACTCTTAGGAATTGCTACAGTTTTATATGTGAATCCATCTTGGCGATAGGTGTTGTTTTACTAGTTTGAATGTACCTAAAAACGGAGAATCATAGACAGAGAGCTGAATCAGTAAATTTTAGATTTCAAACACTTAAATGACACTAAGGCATAGTTTCAAATAATCATTCTTAAAGCTCCTTAACAATTTAATATTTTGTTGATTTCTATTATTCTCTTGAACAGAAAAATTATTTATAACCATCTGTTAGGGCCAAAAAATGTCCTCAACCCAAAGATGAAGACACCTTCAACAAAGCTGAAAGCTCATGCCCAATTCCGATGGGGCCCAAATCAGAGTTCTGCAGATGAGGTCGGTTCAGTATGCTTTCCCAGTTCCTCACCATCTGGACCCAGGCCTTCTGATCCTAAAACACCTTCTGGACTTACGATCAACTTGGAGCCCACAGTCGCCTACGAACTACAATGCTACTTGAATTCTACTAAGGAAGTCAATCACTATCCTAATTCGTCTAAGGTTCGTATCCTAAGCGCACTGGGACTCCCTTTCCCATTGAGATAAGAGAGCCAAAAGCTCTACTCTTTCAGAAAACCACCGTTGCAATGACTCCCAGTCCCACCGGGATTCGAAGACCTTGCAGTTACTATTTAAACAGAGGTCAGCCCTCTCACAAGGGACGAAGACATTTCACCTTCAGACCCTGGAGTTCCCACTTGAGAACTTCGCATTACAGTCGTAGTCATAGTCCCCGACTAGACTTCAGATAACCTTTCCTTTCCTTAAGCATCACTAAACTAGCCTCATTCAGTCTTGCTGACTTGAGTGTTGGAGTGCCTATGGGCAAACACCACCCCGGTGTTTTCCGTCTGCTTCACACTTGTTTCCTTACGTGTGCAGGTGTAGCAAATCGCTAGTGATCTCAACCTCACGGGATCAATCCCTATTTCCGTACAAGTAGATTTTTGCATCTACACCACCTCAGCTAGAAAAATAGAATTACTATGTTATCTAACATCATAAGAGACTTGATAACCAAGTAGCCTCTTCTTCTTATTCCCTTGTCAAGTAATTCACCGCAGAGATTTCGCCATATATGACTTGAGCATTAGTTCCCTATATTTTCATCTGAAGACTAAAAAAATATGTACCCTGTAAACAGGGCCCTATACTTCCACCCTGTCCAAGCTTATTATCAATAGAAATCAACCTTTGTTTCTTTTAGTTTACAGCTAGTTTGGTTAAACATTATGTTGATCTTGCAACCAGCAGTTTAACAACCCATCATTATTTGGTAATTTTCTGACATAAGGGTTCCAAGTTCCGTTCATGAGAAACCAAAACAGGACAAATTTTAAACAGTGCCAATTGATTAAAAAAATGGACCCGGATCCTCTCATGATATGAGCTCATTTTCAAGCTCCCAAAGGTTTGTGATTGGTAGTTACAGAATAGGAATATACTACAAAAATAGATTTGAACCATAAATAAGTAAGAATGGAAAAGTTTCATGAGATCCTTGAAAGCTCAAGTGAGCTCAGATCAGAAAAGAATCCTAACCCAAAAATAATAGTCCAGAAATTTGGAAAAAAAAAAAAATATATACAGTCAGTCTTTCTATTCGGATGTCTTGACTTTCTGAAATCCAGAGTTGAACTTTCACAAAGAAACGCTACATATTGATCAGCTGAAAAAGTTTACAGTCATGTAGTTACCACTTGTGAAACTGTTACATCTTCTTGAACACATGACAGAGCTATTTGCAAGCACCTCAAATTAAATCAAGCTGGTACTTGGCCAGCAGCCATTACTTTTGATTCCAATTTTAACTGGATTTTCCAGAACGCATCTCTTTCTTGGTATAAAAATATAAATTTAAGAGGAATTATGATACCAGGGAAAGTGAAAGAGTCCAGACTATAGCTTCTTTAGGATTCAATTAATTAATCTCACACAAGTAAATCCTTTTGATTCATATCCTGTGGATTCAATGAGTGTTTCAAGTTGTATGGCAGTCTACACCTATATGACAAAGTCTTATTTTTTTGACTCTGGAAATATACCACATCATTCATTAGTTCATTTGATTAAAAATAATAATTAAAAAAAATTAGTATCTCCTGCATTTATTATCATACATCTGCTCTTACTTTTTATCCAGACTTCATACAGACTCTCGGCTTGTAATGCTTTCAAAAGCTTCAGCTAGAATCACTGGTGAAATTTTTGCCAAATTTCCTGGACTTTGAAACTATCTCAAGATCACCGGGCTTGTTATTGCAAAAGCCTGTAATAATCTAGCCAACTTCTGAAATAGTTTATAGTTCCATCATTAAATTAAATATCGATCCACTTTGTTCATCTTCATCAGCTTGTTTTGAGAAAGCAGGCTTCTGAAATAATTTTTGGTTGGAAATTAATTGATGAACAGAATAATACAGAACTACACCTATAAAACCTGTCTAGCTTGCAAAAAATATGTGGGATACACATTAGCAATCACGAAAGCTACATTATGCAATTCATCTGTCATTTGTGATGCACACACAACATACGTACATGCACAGTTAATTAACATGAGACACCAATTACTGGAGACAACAACATCAAAATAACTTCAATAAAAATGGGGCACACAGAGCCAAAAGAAAATACTAATAATAAAACAAAAGCATAAAAATCTAGAAACATCATAAAAGAATAGATCCCTTTATGGTCATAAATGGAAAGCCCCAAGAAATGGATATTTTCATCTCTTCTTTTTCAAATACTCTTCTTGCGTGCTAGGAAGGAGAAAGACCTACTAAGTAAGTCATTTTAAGATCAATATCATTCATGCTTACATGAAAATTCAAGAACATAGCAAGGGATTAAGAAAAGGTATCATCATCATGCTTATATATTTTAACACAAGAACTCTATAAACCATAGATTTTCTTTGGCTAGTTACATAATTCAATACTGCTCAAATATACTATGCAAGGATCATCCTAATTTGTAGTGAGTAGAATGGATTAAAAAAAACCTTTGAACCTCCATTGAAAGTGGCGACTTATTCAATGTGCTTATCTCAATCAGCCATTATCCTAATTACTTGTATCTAAAAATTAAATCCCACTCATAGTGACAGTACATAAACCATAAAACCTTCAGAAACAACTATGAAAGTCTTATGAACTTTATTTTCAATGAAGCAACTACATATCCATGATAGATCGATATCAAAGCTAAACATGCTTCTATAACCCCATCACAAGAAATAAAAGTACAGCTAGACACATGAATTGATTCAGAAATCTGCATGCCTATATTATTGTGTTCATGGAGGTAAAAATCAAAAAAAGAAAGGATTAAGCAGAAAGAGAAAGCCACTTACAAGAATTTCGATGCTTGCCACTCTGCAAGTATGCCGCTAAAGGCTCTGTATATGTCAGACACTGCAACACGGAATTGAGAAAACAAGTATTTCCAAGATTTTCAAGACCAGCACCCTGTAAGTCATACATATCATTATAGATAAGTTTAGGTTCAACACAAAACCAAGTTCATCACAGCTATTACCTAAAAAGCGTCATACATTTGCCATTGAAAAAATTGACACCAAATTTATTCGAAATACCAAATTCAACTAATGACCAAGTCTTTGAGCTGAAATCAATAACTGATAGCCACAATTTAACATATCTTAAACTATGGCAGCACTACTACAATCCAAAATAACAACAAATAGCATGTATGATCGGTATTTCATGATTAGTTTCATTACGCATTTGTTAAGACATATGGACTACCAAAACCGTTAATTCCAGTAACTATACTACAATTCTACTCCCGGGAACATAGCAATTCCCCTCAAATAAAATCATGAAACTAACAAATACTCATAAATTACTGTTACCATACCGGGATTTCACTCCCTGTAACATAACAATTGCCCTTCAACATAACTAAATCAAACTTCAACGAAACGGTCGAATTCCAACAAATTATTAATACAGAAAAAACTCATTCAAAGCCATAGAATTATAAAAATAAAATAAAGCAATCTTTACAAACTAAACACACTCACAATTCTCCGAAAAGTCATCCCAAAACTTAGCTCAGTATCCAACCCACAATCCCAAAACTTCGACTCATCAACTTTCTTCCCCGACCCACCACTCGGACCCTGTCCCTAACCTTTACCAGCTTTCTTCTGCTTCGACCCACTTGGATTCAATGTCTCCAATTTAAAATCCCCATTCTCACCACCATTACTAAGCCCGCTAAAGACTTTTCTAGCCGGGTGAAACTCGATCATTCTTTGGAACCCAGAAAAGGATCCGGCTCCAAGATTCGAATACCCGCCCGCCACTTCCACTTGAACTTCAGTAATCAAATTGTCCATCACTTGAAAATGAATGAAAAGATTTAACTTTTGGGATTAAATTTGAATAGAATTGATAACTGGTGTAAAGAAGATTGGAAATTAGGGTTTTTATTAAGGTGGGTGTTGTAAAAAGCAGAGCAGAGTTGTTTCTAGACCTGGCAAACGGGCGGGCCAGGCAGTTACGGGTAGCGGGTAAAATGAGCATGGGTCTATGGGTTAAGAATGCATGACCCGTACCGGTACAGGTCAACCCATGGGTCACCCGTTTATTTTGCTTTTTAAAATTTTTCCTCTCCAATTTTTTTATTTTTAAGTTTTTGCTCCTAGTTATTTCTCCTTCATCTTCTTCTTCCCTCTCTCTCCAATTCTTCTTGTCTTTTTCTCCCTCCCCACTGCATATTTTTTCTTCTTCAATTCATCTTCTTCTTCTCCCTCTCTCCAATTCTTCTTCGTCTTTTTCTCCCTCTCCACTTTTTCATATTTCTTCTTTTTCTTCAGTCTTCACCATTCCAATTCTTCTTTGTCTGATTGGGAGAAGAGATCGAGAGAAATGTGGCGTCTATCTGTGTGTGAGAGAGATTGGGAAAATGATTTTAGGGTTTTAATTTTTTAATATTTTTTAAATAAAATACAGGTACCCGCGGGCATTATCCGACCCACCTATTTTTTTTCACGGGTAAATTTTAGGAATATCCATACCAGTTCGTTTGATGCGGGTACGCGTACCCCTTTACCATATCTATTTTTTAGACCTGGCAAATGGGTGGGTGTACTCGTGGGTCAATGGGTACCCGTATCCAACGGATGGATACGGGTAATGCATACCTCGACCCGTGAGAATCTGACCTGTACCCGGCCCGCCCATGACTTTTGCGTGTGGATCGGATACTACCCGTGGACCCGCAAATTTGAAATAAAAAAAAAATTTAAATAAAAAACTTATCACTCAAATTTAATTTAATCATCCATTTATTTAATAACTAATAAGTTTAATAAATGAATTTTATATCAAGTTTTTAAATTAATATAATTTAGTATGCAATTTGAATTTTTGAATTAAAAAAAAGTAAAAAAATAACAAAAATATGGAAAAAATAGTGAAAAATATGGAAAATTTAGAAGGCTGTTGCATTTTTCACGGGTGACCTATACCCGCACGGGCGGGTGCGAATTGTGAAAATGTCAACCCGTGAGAATTTCTTACCCATGGACCCGCACCCGTTGCTACCCGGATCATACCCGCCCAACCCACCCGTTTGCCAGGTCTACTATTTGTGGCATAAAATTATTTTGCATCAAGTTTTTTTACAATGAGGGACACGTGTCAACTTAGGGATAGAAGTTTTACAAATATACTTTGCAACTAAAACCTAAGTTGCAATTACCTTACCTTTGATATAATTTTAATGTGATTTGTCATTTTTACCCTTCTAATACTGATTCCTCTTAACATTTCAAAAAAATTGGGTATTTTTATTACTTTATGAAATGTTGGGGTGTGTTGTTAGTTTTGTTATTCACTTAGGAAACAAATTAGGAAACAAATCTACTCGTCGTTTTCCAACAATACTATATAAGTGACCTTTGAGTTTTTCTACAAATGACAAATTCATTGTCTTCTTTGATATTCTCTAGTATTTCTGTACTCCCAGGCATTTTTTTGAAACTCGAACCGAACAAGCTAATCCGACCGGTTCGATGGTTGACTGTCCCTTCTCCGGTTCAAGAACCTCTTAAACATGCTTCTAACGTTTGATCTGGATTGATCGACTTTGAACCAGCAGAACAGTATCGAACCATCGGTTCAATCGACTCAGTGAGTAAACCGGTTCACAAAATTAAAACCCCTGCTTTTTTTTTTTTTTTTTTTTTTTTCTAGATACTCAAATAAACAAACAGATCTAAGAGTTGTACAGTAATTGAAAAAGAAAACAAGAGTTTATAATGCTATTAGATCTGAGAAACAAAAGCAACTAAACCACAGAAGATGAATTTACAATGTAACTTTGATAATGGTTTGTGTATTACAAGCTTAATTAGCTTAGAAAAAGGAAAACAACAACTAGGTATAGAGAAAAAAATAATAAAGAAAATTGAAAAGTTGAAAGAAAGAAAAAAGAGAGTTTTTAGAAGAGGTGGACATTAAAACTTCTCTAGTGATTCCGCTTCCTCTATTTCAGGTTAAGGGAGAAAGAAAGAGAGAGAGGAAAGAAAGAAGGTAAAGAGAGAAATGACAGAGAGAAGAAGCATAAGGGTAGAGTGTTTGCAAACAAGTTACTAAATATTTATTCATGTTAAAATTTACAATTAATGTCAAAAATAAGAAAATTAAATTAAATTAAATTTATTAGGGTTGGGTGAAGTAGAAGTCTAGATTCTAGAAGAGAAAGTTATTGAGTATAGGTGAGCGTTGGGTAAGGGTGACTTTAATTTTCATCTATACCGTGGAACAGAGTGATGGGGGAATAATAAATAATGATAAACTATCACCGCTCCGACCTACCGATCAGACTGGTTGGACCACCTAACCAGGGACCCAGCTTCTTGACCAAGTCGGTTTTCAAAACATTGCTCACAGGTGCATGAGAGTGATTTGTAACGTGCTCTACTATACTAACATGTCAGCTTAAGATAGAACAAAATAACTACTTGTGCTCTTTAATTCTTTCTCTTAAATTTGCTAGAAGCAAAATAACCATTAAATAAGGATAAAGAATACATTACAATGTTCAAGAAGGGCTCTTTAATAGTTAGCTACTAAGACTATGAGCTCTGTCTGGTTCTTGGGAAATAATTCAAGAGAAGTCTGAAACAAACAACTACTTGTGTGATGGTGTAGGTTCCTGAAAATGAAAATGGAGAGGGATCAAAATATGATATATGAAATTATCATTTGATTTGTGTAACTTATATGGTTTAGAAACTCTAGCAAATGTGTCACACACAAGTTTCTTAATGAATCGACCATCAAAGCTTCCCTAGACGCCTCTATAATAATGTTGTTTGACATCAAACTAACAACACACAGACTCTTCTCTAGCATTACCATATGTCTGCATGCACACACTCATATGTTTTAACCTAATTACTATATTGACCCACATTTATCCAACATTATGTTTTTCTCCCATAGGAAAGAAGAAATCCAAAACAAGGAGACAAATTAATAATAGTTAATTCCAACATAACGATGGTTAAAACAAGTAGAAAATATGAAAAAACACATCCAATTGCCTACTGGAAAGTGTTACGAGTGCCTATTGGAAAGTGTTAGAATAGGTGCCACTAAGTCGATCATATTGTTGTATGCTGGCTATTTGGATCATGAATATTCAATATATAAAATGATTGATTATATTATGTTAAGCATATATATATATATATATATATATATAGATTAATATAGATTAATATAATATATATATATTAATCTGCGCACTTAGAGTGGTTGAACCGTGATGAGGGAATCAAGCAATGATAAGTCTTGATTGTGAGATCCCTATGATCACTTATAGAGCTTCTCTCTCATGCTAAGTAACTATGTTCTATGTGTTCAATTACAAGAGAAAAAAGAGTGAATATCAAATACCTCCTTCAAGTTTAACAAAAGCAACAAACTCCTAAATATTTCATAAAGTAACCTAACTCTCCCAAGATTTTTTGTGCAAATACCTTTATACCCTCAACTATAGCAAATTTTTCAATTCAACAAGTACATATTATTAAATAATGATCATGAAAAATTTATGATTTTTTATGATAAAAATGAGCAATAATTAAAAGTAAAAGAATGAATAAAAATATATAACCTTTCTATAAATAAAAATCTCAACTATCTATATTTGTGGTGTAAAAATATATACTCTTTAGGGTCAGCGACTTATTCTTAGACCATACTCAGTGCCATAACGATGACTGGTTTTTGGCTAAGGTCTGCGACCTTATTGCACTTAGCAAAATTTTTGTTGCAGGGGTCACGTCGCTTCACAACTGACGTAAGACAAGATTGAAGAGTCACGTCGCTTCGCGACCAACATAAGACGAAGAGTGTTATATATAATGAGCTATTCAGATGTTATCCGTTGTACTTTTGTAACTGATACATTTAATGAAATATCTTTTGCTTTGACAGACGAATCCTATGAGCAATAAGTGCTAGCCATGCGCATTAAATGTGAGCCATGCTAAAACGACATTCCCTATCAGAACATTAAATGCAGATGTGGGCACATTTAATGTGGAGGAGGGAAAACATGCCGTCGCTTGAGTGTTTCAACGAAAGAAAAAGATGATTTGGTTTCTCAAAGCGTGACGATCACTCTTCTTCGTTGATTTGCGACACGTGGTCACGATCAACAATCAGATGCGTTTTTGGCCCAAACGTCGTTTGACTTCTGGAAACCAAAGAGCCACTTCCTTCACTATAAAACCCCAAGCTCACTTCAGGTAATGCCATAATACTCACTTTCTCAAAGAGAGCAAAAAATTTAGTGAGCCTTGGTTCTTTGTCTTTTAGATTGGTACGCACTTTATATTTGAAGCAAGAGGATTCATCTTCTCATTCCAAGAGGTAATGATGGTTTCTCTGCCACTTTTAGTATTATTTCTTACTAATGGCTTCTAAAAGTATTATGTTAGGGTTTTTCTAGGGTTTAAGGGAGGAAGCTTTTTATTTCCTCCACGTCATCGTACGAAACAGTGTACGAGGACTGAATGATTCCCTGCATGTTGCTTTTTTCAGACCGCAGTAGAATA